TCATTACACTATCATACATACAAAATCATAGCTAACAATGTATGAAGCTATTGATGTACTTATAAAATATATTTGAAATTCGTAAATACACTATAAAAAATTGATCTCGCTGGGTTGTTTCTAAGTAATATATAAAAAATTTCCTGAAGTACGTTACGTACATATGTGAAGTTCAAGGTTTTTAAATTAATTAATTAATGTAAGATCCTACATATGATAGTGTAATAAGCGTTTAACAATATTAAGATATCAGCCGCTCAAATTATATGAGTATACGCTCAAATTATAGAGTATCTCTATGGAGTAGGTGTGGTAAAATTATATTATTATTGTAACGTAGGTAATATAAATTATATTGCAGACAAGATAAAGGCCATATTTCTGTGGCAAGCAGGTTGCTGTTTGAGAGTGGTTCATTCAGGTAAAATTTTCTTACTTATTAGAACGATTTTGAAATTAAGAAATCGTATAATAACGCTATGAAACCTGTAACTCCAAGTATTTTAATGAAGAAGTTTCATTATCACCAGTTTAACTGTACATGTCTATCATTGATCACATTTAACATCCATTCTATCTATGTATACAATTTTGAAGAATTCTTTTACAGTGTTTGCCAGACGTATCGCTGTAGACTCTGCATTAAAATATGATTATTTACGAATATGTCAATATTTTATTTGAAATCAATCTTTTTTCAATTCCGCTTCATCCAGGTATTCAAAATAGCGCTTTAATTATATGAAAATAACCCCTAACTACACTTAAGCGATATTTCCCATCACTAGATAGAAACCAGGACGTCTCTAAATTATACTGTTCCCTTTCTTATGTAGAAGTACCACGTTAAAACAAAATACTTGAATCATTATTAGACGATCTACATAAATATTTATGACATACATTTTTTAAACATGAAATTATTTACAAATATGTTGCTTCTCGCAATAATTTTATATATATCACTACAGAATACAATCACCTTAAGTATCCCGAATATTTCAATCTTGTATCTATAATATATTCTTATAATTAAAAAACACAAGTACCTAATCGTATTTGGTACGCATTTATTTATATACTGCAGTAAAACGCTCAATGTTAGTGGAAGGATTTTATGCGGATTATTAGCACTCAATTGAATATATATGTCTACAATCGCAGCCGTAAGAATTCATTTTTATCATTAACAACTATATACAGAATAACTATGTAAATCGTGAACAAATCACCGTCTACCAATGTTTTATGTATGGCGATTTGAAGACGACATTTGCTCTCCGAGATCTGGAATCCACACATAGGTAAATTTCACCCAATCCCGTGTACGAAAACTTTTGTTTTAAATTTAGAAGTCAATTCCAACTTATTTAACGACTGAAAGTATTTCGTCTAACGTCTTTGATTATATATTATTTAATTATACATTTTCTTATAAGTATCTACTGATCACACTCATTTGTAAGTATAAATACATATAATATTTGTATTACGTAAATTAGACAGCTATACATGTTAGAAAAATATTAACTCTAAACACTCTTTAAATATATTTTTATTTTTCCAAAAAAAATACAATTTTGAGTTGTAAATTTAAATAATTTTTTTAAAAAAAATTGCAATTAAATTCCCGTGCCGTTCGTTTCACTGAGACTATGTTTTTTTACAGGAATGCTCATAGCATAATTAATTACGAAATTATCTACTTTCAATAAAAAAAAAACTCGATGTAGCATTTCGTTCCATTGGTAACAGAGTACCTACGTACGCAAAAATTTGCATAGATACTTTAACGAGATCATCCGAGTCATTAAAAATAATATATATACATAATCTTATTTCTTAAATTATATATATACAAATACATGCCAAGTACCTAAATAAAATATTTGTGCACTTGATACAAAACGAATAATTAACTACGGCAAATGGTTCGATACCAAATTTTGCCTGAAAAGAGAAAACATGAATATAGTAGAGAATAGCAAAAGAGAATCAGCTCTGTTATCATTGTGAGAAGTTTAACCAAGAATTCACCGGTGAGCTCCTTCATACCTAATCACTCCAAGTCCTATAATTCTTGTGCAAGGACAGCAACTCTTTTTAGTTGCGGGAAGTTCAGTATAAAAAACAATCCTTATGATATTTAACAAATGCTTAAAACTAATCTATACATAAAATGGTGGACAGGGGAAGAGCGTGGCGCATTTGATATGCACACAGTCCTAAGTTACGCGACAGATAATAATAATCAAAATCAAGTGTCAAAGTGAGTACTCACCGTACATTCCAAAATATATCTACCTCTATTTGCTTTACAGCTGAATATTATAACCAACAAGCTCATTCTGACCACAAAATGCATATGACTAAATGACTATAGCCTACACTAATTACATTTATAATAATTAATAGTCTCACAACTATTTTAACGATACCTCAAAAAGTTGCTGTGTCAAAGATACGACAGTAATGTATAAATTCAGAAAATATGTCGTGAAGAACATGGGGCATTATGTACGGCGCCGACGAGAAATCGATATGGTGAATGTGTATACGACTTTGAAGGTAGTTTTTATAGATAACCAGTATCCATCAGATTTCAGCAGACGATATACAACGTCTAAATAATGGGTAAACCTCACAGGAAATATACATCTAATATCGTTTTTTTTTTAAATATTACGGATTTATTCTTCTATTAGCTGATTTTTAATAATAGGTATTTCAACAAAATTAACAAATTCAATTTTAAGGATTTAACCTGTCAATTTCTATAACTAGTTTCTAAAGAAGATATTGTGTACGACTAATTATTTTATCCATTATTTCATTATCTACCTATAATAACGCGTATATAAAAGATCAAAAAACAAAATCCCTTCAAATTTTCCTATCACTGTTGTATTTACCTAACTATTTAAATATCCCATCAAGTTTACAATAGATTAAAATCTAACTTCTGTAAAAATTATATCAATCTTAACAATGTCTGTGTGCTTGTCTGTATACGAATATTCAAACGCACTTGAATATTAAAAGCATAGGAAAAGGGTCCATGATAGCGTAATAGCTATGGAAGCATACTTTTAGTATGCAATTTGGCAATCAAATAGTCTGGCCGATCTGCCATGCGTCATCGCCACACACAACCTTATGTCCATAACCATCCTCCCAACATTACTTCTATGTTGGCAGTTACGGTAAAGAAGCGTATAACTATGACTTCATCAAATTGTTAGACCGTTTCGACTAGACAAACCACCAACTTGTCGGGACAACTAACCTAACTGGTCCATCTCTATACCAATTAGCCACGAAGTGACAGATCGAACCATGCATGCCAAATCTTTCGAAGATATTTGCAATACGTTGTGACATTTTTAAATTGGCAGATATGGGAGGAAGGCATAGGTATCATACTTATATAGATAAAATTACTACGCTAATCTCACAGTATTTCGTTTTGTAGTAAAAATTGTGTCAAAAACTCTATATTCAATTCAAAACAACCATTATTTTTCATATATTCATCGTCTACTTGATACTAAGTATATTAATATTAAAAAGATATACAAAAAAGGAAAATGATGAATTGCAATCGTATGAAATTACATCTTACTGATGCAGTTTTGACGAAATTATCGCATAAACGTTATAGAAAAATTCAATGCCTCATTTATAAAGTCGGATAGGAACGTGTTCAAGTGCTAGCATGTAGGTACAAATAAAGTTTTCATAGTAGGAATCTATAAAGGAAATACGGCCAATACTCCTTGCAGTATGGCTGTATAAAAGACCTATATACTATGTTAGTACAAAATAGTCACTGTTATACGTAAGTACCTTTAATTTTTTCACATACACTAAATATATCGGGAAATATATTGTATATTAAAATCTAGTATAACTTCTAAATAGAATATTATAATATAAATTGACCTCATAACTAATATTTTCATATACATAAATATTATTATATAATAAACATTTATATTCAATAAGTAAAGACAAGAGTCAGCCCTGTACCCGAATTCAGATTACAATTGGCAACTATACGATACAAGAAGATAAAATGACCATTTTGGCGATTCATACATAGAAATCGGAAACAATTCACATTTGCAATGCATCATTAACAGTTTTCTATAAGAATTCACAAGATTATAAGATTTAAAAGAAAGATATAGGTATATAGGTACTTGTTAAAATCCTCTCCACAACATAACATTATACAGAAATAAAAATCGTATAAAATAGATAAGAAATAGAAATGGCTCTACTACTTAAAACTATCCCTGCCAGGCAATCTTGACGCAACCTCAAGATGGTTAAGAAGACCATCAAACGTGCTGATCGAAAGCATTCAGTTTAAAACAGCTATTAAGTACTTAATACATAACTGCAATTCCAATTCAACATTTTACGGTATATTATAGAAAATTGACTTTTAAATGTGTAACAAATGAATATAGTTCTAATTATAAATCGTCAAACTAGCCCTTTAAAACTTCAGTTCTAGTATTTACAATTACGTGAATAGTGAAATAGGAGTGCCAATAGAGTCCTCAACAAATGCAATAATGACACGATGACATGATTTTTACAGATTTATCCCTTGCTTATAAAGACTAAATAATTCTAGGAGTATTCAGCCACTTATTAATCTGTAAAATATTAACAATTAAGGACTTTACAAATTAATCTATGATTACAGAGTAGCATTTTTAAGTCAGTACTTAAATGTGTATAAATACATTATTGTATAGTTTTACATGATGTGTGCAATATTGGTACTATATTGACATTGCATTAAAGTAACTTCCCCAATACAAATGTTTTTTAGTAATACCATTGAAGTTTAGGAAATTATCAGAAATGAAGCTGATAGCTGCAAGCAATGGCTTCAATTCTGAAAAAATATAATCTCTAACAATTATTCTGAGAGTTTTACCAGATTCAATATTGAAGTTAAATTAATTAATTTCTAATAACTTTAATTTAATATTACCATACGACAAAATTGAGCGTCGTCAAGTTCAAATCTACCTTTATATATTTACAATAACATTTAAAACGTTCAATTCCTGTCATACATTATGTATGTAAACATTAAACTCTCACTAACATGACAAACGAGTTCTTTTTGAAAGAATCCCGAATATGCACCCAAAACTAAATGTTCGAGTATTCAGTTCGGACAGTGTTTACCGTATCGGTATTTATCAAAGTACCCGAATTAATATTTACCAAAGAATAGGATTCACCTTGCGTTGTTCGGATCCGACTCAGGTCCGTCGTGGTACTCATGGAAACATGGCACTATGCAGAGATTGGTGCGGCACTCGGGACAGTGGTACTGGGTCTTGCGTCGTAGTATGCGGCCGCATTCGTCGACTGTGTTCCAGCAGAAATTGCAGCTTAGCGGTGGTCCAGAGCGTACGGCCGGTGTGTGACTCACCCGGGGTGTTTGGGATGTAGCTGTTGACGGGGATGCATCTGAGAAGCTCGCCTCCGATGCCGATGTAGAAGGTTGCCGGTCGATCACAGTTACAGGCCTGATGAGCAACGAACCAACCTCATGGTCTTGGGTGCGAGATCGTCGACTCTAAAAATATGCAACAAACAATCAAATATAGTATGTTTTAAAATTTTTTCACGGTCGTTTACAATTGTTTGCATGATATAAATGTAATATTTTCCAGTATGTTCCAGTGTTTCAGTCGACCCCTAACTATATATACGTTATATACCATATAACGGAACGCCTTTTTTGTAACTGATATTTCCTAAAAATCACAAATGTTTTTTAGGATTAGCATCTCAATAAATTATTCCATAGGTTTGGAGTGACTTCTACAGTCGCTCGCATTTTCATCAGATGAAGCTGTATCTAATGTTTTTTGTTTGCTGTAACTAAAGCTTATGATCAACATGATAAATAAATATATTGGGAAAGAGTGTTTAACTTATTAATTTCTTACGTTGTTTTAGTTGTTACCGATTAGTCTATCAGTAGGCGGGCAGTTAGTTATCTATATGCGACTATGTGGTCTGTTCGGGTTACGAACACTGATTAGACTTTGTTTTTGTAATAGCATATACTAAGTGGTTATTCGATTTTCCCAAATTTGAATTTATAAATGTATCTGTATTATTGTGAACATGTACCTACAACATTTATTTGAAAAGAATACGACCTGAATTTCTTGTCAGTTCTTCTCATCTCAAAATCACTCCGGTAAATTTGACATATCATAGGAGTCTGTAATAGACCTACTTGAATAAAGATATTTTGAATTTGAATTATTCTTGTAAATGTGAAAATATGTCATCTGAATGTATATAATATGAATATAGGTTATATTATAGACTCTCGTTTGTCTAAATGAAATCATGCAAAGTCCTGATTTTATTTGCTTTTTATTATCGCAAGAAAGTTACAAATAGACGTATTCTTCGTAGGTCTGGTTGATTTCTATATATAACATATTATGTGTTGTGACAAAAAATGTACCTATTTAAGTATTTCGATCAGTTGTCAATTAGATGGCGCTGTGTGAATTGTCCAAGGATATTATTATATTAATAGTCAACCTGCACAATTTCGTCTGCATCAAATTTATTGACATTTATCAATATATATTTAATTAACAATTTATATATCTTGTTAAATTATATAGCCTATGGGTTATTCTGATGTATTCTATATTATATTCATTCATATATATTGCTATTCATGTAAAATTTCTTCAAAATCCGTTCAGTCGTTTTTGCGTGAAAGAGTAACAAACACCTATCCGTGCATCTATCAAACAAACTTACAAACATGCATCGGTCTATTAATATGGATATACCTTTACCGTAGCGTATTGTGGATAGGACTCATGTTTCTGAAGCAGTGGCGCCGGTGTGACGACGTACGATGGCACAGGCTCGGAAGTTTGCTTTCGTATCTCTCGTTCGTCGGGTTGCACCCGGCTCTGCCGTTTGAAATATTTGGACCTGCGCAACTTGAGACCAGACTGTGAGCTGAACGAATCTGAAAAATACGTTGTATGCATTTTTAATACAAGCCAACAACTATATTTAATTATCTAAAAGAGCAACTTGCAAGATTTTCCTTCTTGTGACGAATGAGAATTTTTTTAACCAAAATAAAATTATTTAAAATAAATATTTCTTGAAATCTAATGTAGACATTGTCGTCAACGTGAAATACTTTGCATCGCCTATTCAACCATTTGTATGGTATGCAGCTTGATTTGCATGATATATTTCAGTGGATGAGATAAAGAGGTAGGATACAGGACATCGTACTCCTTCGGAATGGCAACAATAAGAGGTATTACGTTCGTCTCATGTAATCTTCGAGTTACAGCGAGATTTAGCGGTTATCATCTCACCACTGTAGCGTTATATAAGATGTGATAATGCGTCGCTACTTAAATTATTTTTTTATTATTATGTCTAGTCTAGTTTTATTACTATGTTAGTTCTAGATAAGGAGTCGGGTAGGGTGTAATAATAGTACTATTTATTTGAATGTGTGCTACATGGCTTATTAGTATAAAATGCACTGACTTACACTAGAGTTAAATATGTTATATGGAGACGTAAAGAAAATGAAAGTGTTCAGTAGGAACAAAGAATATAGATAGACGATGGTTACCACTTACCACGAGCTTAATAATAATTTCAATAATATAAAAAAAAACCATGGATAACCTATAATAGTACCTCTGTACAACTAGTTGAAACATTATTTTATTGATATTCGTGGTATTTAGTGCCTGTAAAACAAGGTTTCACTCGCATGAAATTTATAACTTGTGTTATTCTGATGTATAAGCTATATTATTGTAAAGTTTCATCGAAATCCGTTCAGTAGGTAGTTTTTGCGTTAAAGAGTAACAAACATCCATTCCATTTGCAATAACGACAAACGCTGCGTAAATAAATACCAATACAATTTTTCTTTTTTTTTTAATGGATCATATTGGACCATTCCACCGCGCCTGCGTTAATAGTATGCGATGGTCCCACACTGGTCACTTCATCATTATATTTATAAATACGACTGTAAGTATTGTATTTCAAGGTACTAATTAGGAAATATGTTATAAATAATAAACAATACAACCAAAAGTAATCCATCTATATTTATAATCAATCATACTGTGCTACGCACCATGTTATTTTTTTACAATTTTTATAGAGATGTGTACAGCTCATCGACACAGGCTATTGCTGCAATGCAATCCCGAAATTCTATTGATGTATAGGTACTACTAACTAAGGGATACATGCCTTTGGAACGCGTACGAGGTTATAATATAAAAAAAATACGCTGACGTATTAAAAATGGCTTCTGCATTAGTAAAAAGGGCCAATATTTCAAAATAATCTTAATATTTAAATAGTGCAATTAAAAAAACTACAATACAATTGCAGTATGGAAAGTCATATAAACAAATCAAACTAAACCGACATATTCGAGTTGAATTCTCGAAATTTTCTATTTCATAATTTTTTTTTACAATAATTATTAACCAAGATCTTATTTAAAATTTCAATAAATTATATGTTTCTTATAATTCTGATACCTGCAATTGTAAAACTCATGCAGGTCCCAAAAGCATTTTCGAAAATGTTCTTATTATTTCTAAGTAGAAACATGAAAAAATATTGTTCTATCTACCTGCCTATATAGTACAGTACAGAGGTATTCATTTCTACTATAGAATTTCGGGTACATAGAGCCGCCTATGTATTGCCAATATTATTATCATACGTTGAGAAGCAAAACGATAAATAACAATGAAAATGTATCAATAGTATGTATAGACTGAACAATATCTCAGTTTTGTGATGGTTTTAACTTTCTCGTTAAATCATTTATCAGTTCATATAAGGGCTTATTACTAAAATAAATACCCAAATTAGTAATTAACTCTGCTCTAGGACACAAACTAACAATATATTTTTTTATTAATAAAAGACAGTACAAAATGCTTTTTTAAATAAAGATATACTCGCATAGCTGTAAACTTTGTTGCGGTTTCATAATTAACCCTAATGTAATACAGTAAGTATAATTTTGTTACTATTTCTGAATTATCGAAAGTTCAAAACGTTATAAATTTCGATAATGCTGATGAAATATATTTAAAGTCTACTTTATAACAAATTCAAAATGTTTATTATAATGTTGAAGTGCACTGTATTGACAGTCACTGTAATAAGAAGTGTTCTGCTGTTTTAGCTTTCCATTGACTTACAGAAGCACACACATATTACACAGTTATATAAAAATATTGCAAACCGAAATACTTTCATTTCAACATTATATAAATAAACTGCTTTGTTACTGTCGAGGGATTAAATTTGAGAAAGCAATCAAGATATTCAAAGTGAATAGATACAATAAGGATGTTACTGTATGATTGTACTCATTTCGAAAATATTGTACGCTTTAACAAAATCGGATATGATGAAATTATTGAATCTTCAACTACAACTGGCAGTGAAAACGAGATGAGTGGAGACTGAAAAAGAGCCCGGCACAAGACAGGAACACGAACATGATTATCTTTGGTTAGAAGACGATATAATATACGTCCATTGACAAACCAATCGGATACCATTTCATTTCATTTGTTATTCGGACACTATAAATCTAATGGCTAATAAGCACGTTCAAGAAAAAAATGACAATTTACATTTCTGATATATTTTGAGCCACAATTTGTGAAAATTACCTATAAGCTAATATACTAACATTGCAAAAATAGACTCTATTGAACTACTAAGAACAATGTTAATATAATTCATAAATGTACCAATTTATACAAAAACATTTTCAATTTAATATATTCTTATTTTAGCCGTATCTATATATAATTTGTGTCCTAGTACAAAACATTTGTAATTAATTAGTGATATATTGCTTTGTATCTTGTACGGTAAAGTTTATGCATTAATAAAAAATAAAACGGGTAAAAATGTAAATAAATGAGCATAAATAACTTCATCATAAAGAATGGACTGTTTCTGCTCTTGCTTCCATTCTATAAATTGGAACGGGTGAGAGCGTATCTACAAATAAAATATTTTACGATTGATTATACAAAATTATGATATTCGCGGTTTCGAATTCTAACGATCATATACAATAAATTTATTTACATCGTTTACACTTGTAATACTAAAGTAATTATCTTAACTTAACTTTCGGTATAATTTGTAAAAAAAATCAGTCACAATTGTAGAGATCTCTTAAAAAATGAAAGATTCGTTGTAATTCTAAGAAAAATGTGAGTTTAACACAAATATTAGGTAGTTACATACTAAAATACTGGCTAACACGTGGTAATAAAGGGATGCTCGTGGTGCCCACCTCTCTCGCATACAAACACTCTGTTACAATTCCACACATACATTTATACTAAACTATTAAGGACCGCTCTTTATACACAAAACAAACTGCGCAGGCACTCACTGGCTTCTACTTATAAAAGTACCTCCCCAAAATGACAATGTAGTCCTAGCGATCGCTAGAACTGTGTATATATACTACTATCGACTTTACACTTTTTAAATCTTAGTTTAAATTTAAATTATAGCTAGTTTTAAAAGTAACTGTTTTCAAAACAAAACTACGGTCTAAAGTAAAACCGTTTTCAATATAGGTAATACGTATCGGGAGTTCAATGGGGTTTATGTGTATGTGGATCTGTGTCGGTGTTTTTGGTTGTTTGTGTATGTGAGTGTGTAACACACAAGTTCCTGTCAAAGTAACTAAGTGTAGTGGATATTATCACTTTGTATCTATCTGAGACTAGACAATTGTTTATAGATAATTATGTACGGCTTAGAGCATGTGGGGACAACTATTTATGCCTACGTAACATCTGCTTTAAACATGTAATCTGATCAACGTACTTAGAAAAGCTTTCGAATGGAACTTATGTAGCATTATTTCGTTAATTGATGTCAGACACGATGTCTCTAACATAATATCTTTTTAGAGATGGAATCAGAATACATTTTAGTATTAATGAATATATCTGTGTATTGTGATTAGAAATAACCCAAAGAACTCACACAATATTATAAATTACTCCCATCGGAGGAATTCGAGCTATGAAACTAAATATATTTCAGATATTATTATTATTATTTAATTCCACGTTATAATGTGATATATATTTCACAGCACAATGTTACTCGAATATAATTGAATTATAATTAACGTTATTTATTTCAAAATTGTGATACTTTTATTTCACAGCACTGAGCCTATAATTTGAGATCACTAAATATATTAATTGGAGAACTATATTAATTGGAGAATATATTCAAGTAATTTGAAATTAATATAAGCACGCTGCTTACATTAAACCACTAGGTTTGATTGAATAATATTCATAAACATAAAAAAATATACTTTAAATTTTACTATACCTATTTCTTTGTCATGGAAATGTAGGTATCAGTAAGAATATCGAAGGCTTAATATCAATAGTGTCTTAAAATTTCAGGTAATTGATTATAGTGTGTACGTTTACGTTTACACATAACGTTTACGTTTTTTCTCAGCAATACTCAATTGCTCTATAAAAGTGGTACCACAACATAAACTGTTAGTTAAAGTTGACGCTTTTAAATTATGACAATATGTACAAGACGTTAGATTAGACAGACAAATTCGAAGCGGTAAAAGTAACCATTAGTTAATAGAATAATAAAAATAATAATAAGTACAAAACATAATTTGTTATATTAAAATATTCTTTTGAGATCACTATGTAGTAAATATAAAGTCGCCGTACGCTTCGACCTGTTACTGTTTATATTTTATTGTTTTCAGACTAGTAACATTTAACAGGGGTGCACTGTGTAATAATGGAACACCAATATATAACAGTAGAAATGTAGAAAAATCTAACAGACACTGAATATAAAACAATACCATTGTTTGGATGTCATTTATTTTTTTGGATAACTGGAATGTAATCAATCTGACAGCCTGAACAGTAT